CACAAAGAAAGAGAAAACTCCAAGCTACATTACGAAATAAGCAGTAGATTTTTCGCAGCAAAACCATCAAAATTTCTATCCTAGGACGGATTTCGAGTGAGCCGCGAACACGAAATCTTAGGGTAAGGTTACAAAACAAAAGGGGATAGCATTTCACGGTTTTCCTTCTTTGACTCTTGACGCATTCTGCTTCCTTTCAGAATCGTAATGAGGAACTGAATGCGGGTTGGCGCAGTGACTAGCGCCGTTAATGGTTCTTAGCTCAGCGCTCTTGAGCTTCCAAACAAATCTGGCATTAGTTCACCCCGGAAGGGTTGAAGGTTTGGTTGACCTAGCCTTGCAAATGGTGAGTATGGTCCATGAAAACCGGAGGGAGAGCTGAGGTCTTCAGCTGGCCTGGACAGCTCCAGCCTAAGAATTGATCTCCAGATTGTGGAGATGGTAGGCGATGCAGTAGCCACTCTACCAATTCAGTGCCTAGGGTCAGGTGCAATAGATAAAGCAGATATAGTGGAACAAGTGCAAAAAGCTTTCGTACAGGGACGCCGCTAAGCTCAAAGCTTTCGCACAGGGTCGCCGCTAAGGTTAACCTAAAATCTAGGAGTTTCAATAAGTGGCCATTGTAAGATCCCTCTGCCCTCCACCTTTCTCCTTTTTACGCTAAGAAGCATTCCATTCCAAAATTCTGATTCCCTTTAGCGTGTGCTGAAAGTCGGCACAGCGATCAATATCTAAATAATTAATTGCAAGATGGCAGGAGTTTTTATGGCAATAAAATTCTTGTCCAATATGCAACAGCAGCACACGAAACGGAGCGTACTTTGGAAGCTTAATTGATCCGTACTACAAGGAAGCGCCTCAAATCCTGTACTGGCTGGAAATGGTGGAAGCGTTTGATTGCGCAGGTGGCCTCTACAGTGGCAGGTGGGCGCCAGTCCATCTTCCTATCCATGTTTTTATCCTGCTAGGCTTGTCTGTATCCGATTTTTTTTTACTTTGCAAGGAATGGAAGGCTGCTCGACCCAGAAAATTGTTACCAATCAGAAACTGTACCACCTTGAATCTGCCCTTTCACCCGACCCCTTCATTATAAGCTTAGGCTTCAGCATAGTCAATATTTCAGCGGTCTTATCGATTGCGTTGCCTGCAGGTAAATTTTACAGCTGTGTTAATCGCCCTTTGAATTCGTTAATTGTGAACTTTAGAACTATAATACATTGCCCTTTATCATTAACAATTAAAACAGCAGGTGAAGAT